TTGAAGAAAAAAATAACTCAGTAGCATCGAAGAAATGGGTATTTCCATGTGATATGTATGCAATTTTAGGCTGAAGTAAATAGGAACTGGTAAAAAATAAATGTATTGGTGATATGCACTTGATTCAGAAATCCAGCTTTTAATAATAAGTGTTACATTCACACAGTATCGGTGCAGTACAATACTAAAGTGCTTCAGCTTTAGAGAACCTGCTATTAATTGTTCTAGAATACAATATTTGTTAATGATTCACAAAGCACATTCTGAATAGTACTGCTTTGGACACCAGTGTAATTTAACAAACATGTTCAGCATTTACCTCTGCTGTAGAAATCTGACTAAGCCTAGATGCCTGAGGGTCGAAGTGAGTGATAAGATAAGCCTCTTTCATCTGCGACATCACAACATCACATCACTTTCAAGAACCGCTTATCCAATTCAGGGTCACTGTGTCCTGCAGCCTATCCCAGGAAGCATTGGGGGCACGACTGGATGCACCCTGGACAGGGCACCAGTCCAACAGACACAAACACGCACACATTCAGATTAGGGCCAATTTTTACAGAAAATATAATTCTGACCCACTTCATGGAACTTTCAGTATTTATAACCATCCTCATTCTTTTAAAATTACACAAGTTCATTAAAAGGAACAGTGTGTATGAACCAAGCTTATATTTTTATGTTATTCGATTACAGAAAATCTCCAATGTAAAGCTAGAATTTAAATCTGTTAGTTTAGGGAGATAGCTTTTTGAACACTGATGAACGTGGTTCCTTTTGTGTATCTGATGCCACAGAAATTTGTTGATGAGCTTTCAAGATTATGTTACTAATTATCATTAATTAGCAAAGGGTGAAGTGACAGACCAGATTATGTTAATACATCAAAGGTACAGAAAAGGCAAGGTCAAACTAGAATCATATACAATATCCTGTGCATATTAAACCATTTCTTGCATAAATAAAGACTTACATAAAAATGCACAAGCTGAACTAATGGAAATCAGCTAGTCATGGTCATTACTGACAACAAGGGACAAATATCATCACCGTGCATCATGTCTGCTTCTCTGTTCTTCGTTTCTATCTAGTTATGTTCCCTTATAACTGAGCATTAAGGCAAAACTAGATTTTCAAGAGTTAACTTAATGTACTCCAGTCCACTTAAATTACTGTATATATCATCACTGACTGATGTTACTGTCCAGTTGTTAGTGGTATTCTAAAAATTGAATAAATGTTAAACAATTGATCCACAGGGAATGGTGAAATGGGTAACACATCAATTCTGATCCAATTCTGAATATGAATATTAATACTGTGTAATAAAAAATTAGGTGATTTTTGCATAGTCAGGATAATTGTGTTTACAGTTAATGTTTTCTTTGTGTCTCTTGTTTCATTCATGATGCCTTTTTGTACCTTTTGTACAGAGAATCGCATGATTATAGATCAATAACTGGAAAAAAATAAAGTTTATATCGAAGGAGGGAGATCCCTAAAGCACATTTCTTTATGCTTGATATTGCAAAATTTGGTATTTATTTCAATCATCACGAAGATTATACTTTTTAAAAACTAAATTCCAAATGTTAATTCCATTTTTTTTAAATGTGGGTAAAAGTTCAGGAGTGGAACTCAGGACTTGAATTATACATCCATTTGTTGCCCCAAAACAGCATCTGCCTGTTTTTCCTTTGCTTTTTCAAAAGTAGGACTAGGCACCAATAACACACCAATTTCAAAGGGCACAGGGAGTGATCAGCCAATTTTTACTCAGTCCATTTACATGAAGCTGGGATACAAACAATGGCAAATATCAATTAGCAAAGAAAAAGGTTATCACAAGGTAATCAAAACAACAGACAGCTGTGAGGACAAATCTTTAAAAGCACGGGTAGGAAAATCCTCATCACGGGTATCAGTTTTTATAGATAAACTTCAGTCAGAGCAGAAATGCAGCTGAAAAACACACTTTAATTAGTTCAATTAAACCATTAAGGGTAGAATGAAAACTGGAAACAAACACAGTATTTCAATATTTTCCATTACTGCTCTGTTCTGGGAACTTACAGAGTTCCTTTATTTAATTCAAATACTGTAAATGTTAAACTATAAAGCCTTTTCGTGTGATTTTATTCATTACCCATCCAGATATGGCTTAGTGTTCTAAAAATATTTATTTACAGCCCGTTTTTCCTAATACACGATTGCCTTTGAGCCCCTTGTCCAGGTCATTTTTCATCTCACACCTTTTTGGATGGCTTTTATCAGCTATTTATTACATCAACAATTTTATTTTAAACCATAGGGATTTTCTATGAAAAGGTAATTTGTAGATGTTCCTCTATTTGTGCCAAAGACACAAGACACTAAACAAAAGGACCAGTAATTAATATTTGGAAATATTTCAGATTTTTTTCCAGTGGTTGTCGGCTGTAGGATTCCTTTTAGTAGAAATTGTAGAATGCCATAACTTTAACTTTAAATCAATTTGCCCTTACTTAATGCACAACCTTTAGAAAACAAGGGCAGTGCCTTTAGGAAATTTGGGGTGGAATTCTATAAAAAGAAAACCCATAATCTGAACCTTTTAAATTAATTCAGCATGAAGGCCCGACAAAAATCAATCTGATTAATTTTATATATGCCTAGTCACTGAGTAAATCACATAATACAAACCCCACTGACTTCATCAGAACTGATAAAAAGTGGTAATGTTGCAATTTGCTAGATCTGAATCCTCACTGTTCAAGACAAAAACAATACACTCATTTTCTGCTTTTATCTGTCCATATATGTAGTAATGATAACCGATCTAGAGTAATGGCAACAGATCTAAAGGCTACCTGATCATCAATCTGTTAAGAAAAGCCAGTTATTTCAAGTGACGGTTGTGTCCACCCCTGAACTTTAAACGGATACACAAGGGACAAGGCAGGACTACATGCTGAATAAACTGCTAATCAATCACAGAAAATGTATGCACAAGCACAGGGACAAATTAGAGACACAGAGTAAACTAGCCAGCGAATCTTTGGAAGGTGGGTGGTATCTCCACAGAGATAACCCAGACAAACTGCTACAGACTCCCCACAGAATATATCCAGGTCCAGAATGTAACCCAGGACTAGCTGTGATGATTCCACTACACTGCCCATTAAATAATTATGTGTCCATTATACATTTAAATGCAGCTATAATCTCTGCTAGCACCTGTGAGAGTTAAATGACTATACAAAACAAAAAAATCCTATTCACTTTTGGGCTTTAAAAAGTTAATGTTTATTTAATAGCACATGCAATATAACTTCACATAAATTAAAGGACTGTGTTTAATTCCATACAAGCAAATGCATCTGGTCTGTGCCTAAACAGGTCTTACCTAAATTATATTTCTCCCACACCAATACAACTTTAAAATCTATAAATACTTGTAACCACTCTGTTTATAACTTGAATTAAATTATAGCTTTCATAAACTGCACTAGTTTTCTTGTGGGGTATTTTTTACTCAGTGATCATACATGTTCTGCTCTATGTATTTCTGTGCTTCAGTACAGAATGTCACATCATTTTTTAAATGGACATTCACCTTTTAAAAACACAAGTCACTTATTTTATATTACCTGAGAAATGTAATATAACAACACATTTTAAAAATATATATAATTGCTAGTTGTGTTTTTAAAACCCCGTAATTCTGAGTGCCAACTGTTAATCAGGTCAACTCACCATAGCAACCTTATCATCAGTTCTGGATAGAAACAACATACAAAAATCCTCTAAAATGTACACTGTAGTCTTCAGGGGTCACAGTGTAATGACATATTCAGCAAACACTCACTAACGTAAGATCCCACCCAATACTAGCACTCTAGGACAATTGTGAGGTGCCCCATGTGGTATATATCAACCAGACAATGACACAGTGTAGATCTGAACCAGTGATCCCAGGACTATAAGGCACTGTCAACTCTAAGTGGAGGCTGTACATTGGATCCTAAGATTAATTCAGAAAAAAATGAAACATCTGTAGTGATAAAATCTAAACGTTAATTGAATGTCCTATGTTAAACCATGTGTACATCTATTTTTTCCCTGTTTTAAAATTCCGAAGTGCAATAAAACAGACATTTAACTGAAAGGAATTGGTAATATAAACAGCTGTAGCTGAGAGGAAAAGAGGGTCGCAGCAGAAAGAGTAAAAAAATACTCGTGTGCCTTGGTAATGCTGGACAAAATAGTTTTCTACAAATCAAACCAAAAGGTTATTTAATAGCTTTAATGTTGTTTCTGTCTTGTTATTCATAGCTCAGAATAGAAATAGTTTATTCTTTTACCAAAGCTATAAAAAGCCTTAAAAAGTTCCTTTGATCTGAATTCTATACTGAGTATTCTATACTAATAAAAACACCACCTATTAATTCCAATACTCATTTGTTATTAACGCCTCTCAGTATATAAATCTAATCAGATGACAAGCAGAGCCTGCATTGTCTGAAGCTTACCAACAAGCTGTTAGCCAACATGATTACACAAACAGATCACATCTAAACCCTGAGACTGTGGAGTACTTGAGACACAATTAGAACATGCACTGCAACTACTAGCAAATGGAAGATTAACCACTTGCATTGCAACCCTTTTACGGTACAAGGCAAACAAACTATTTGGAAGGTATTTTTTTTTACTGGATAATGTTATACAGTCTTGTGCTAATTATTTTATTGTGGATGAAGTCATATCCTTAATCGCAGTTTTATAAATTTAGCAGAAAATCGCTAAAAGGCAGCTGTGAAATAAGCTTAGTTACATATGCTGTCTGCTACACAGTTAATGACTGCAGCACCGAAATATTCTGTTGTGCTTCAAATATCCACAATATATTAAAATAACTGCTGTCAAATATTTCCTCAAATGTTTTGAAGAAACAAATAACTTAGCAAATAGAATAGGCATGAATAACTTAGCAAACAGAAAACAATTGTACTTACGGTCATGAGCTCCTTCTGAAATGACTTTTTTTCTTTGTTGTCTGCATTATTGCAATCCTCCTTCAGCTTCTCTAGTACAGAAGCTACTCTCTCTGGCTCACTGTCTAGATCTGCTCGGCAAAAGTATGACAAAGGTAGATTGGTGTAGCCAAGAGCATCAGAGAATGCTCGCCAGCTCCCTATGTTTTCCATCAGAATTGTCCGCACTGAAGCATAGATATACGTTAAGAACTTGCAAGGCTTTAGGATCTGCTCCAACAAGGTTGAGGTTGTGAGATCAGGTCCACAGAAAAAAGTAGGTTTCATTTTTCCAACAATCAGAACATTTTTTGCATGGACAAGCCCAGTCTTTCCTTGATAGTACCCGATATACCACTCTTTGGTCCATAACTGTCCCTTTAATTTGATTTTCTCCTCACTCAGCAAAGCAATCACATCTCCTTTCTTGTACTCTAAGAGGTACTGATTCTTGTTTTGTCTGACTACTGTTTTTAGTAGCTTGCCATATTTTAAGCTGTTAATGCAACGGTCCTGAAATACTGGATATTTGGTTGTGGCAGCCAAGGGAGACAATATTATCTTCCCGATTTCCTTTTTCTTCAGGAATCTCCTTTGCCCAGTAGTCCGAACACCTGTTTTAGGTGGTGGCTGAGGCGTCTGCACACAAAATTGTGCCAGAATGCATTCCTGGTCATCTTTCACTTGGACCCGAAGAGTGAAGTCAGAAATGTCTTCAGCATTACGGGATGCAATCACATAAATGAGCCGACTTACTTTTCCCAACTTAATCTGAAACCCGCGTACAATCCGAGCTTGTTCATTTGCCTTGACTTCGTAATTAGACATGTTTGAGTACATGCCTATTTGTAAGTCCTGTGGTCTTCCCAAAACAAACTGGTGCTTTCCCCACAGTTGTAAAGCCACTGGTGGAGCGCTGTGTGCCTGCTTTCCAACCTCACTCACTAACAAGGTTTTTGGTGCACAATCATGCCCAAAAATTGCCACAACAGTTTTGAAGGAAGGGTGAATGTGTTTAGGTCCATAGACACCAAGTGTGACTTTCTTAATAACATGGTCCCAGACTGTCATGGGGGGAGAGACGTGCTGTGCTTGTACTATCACAGCTACATACATACAAGGCTCCAAATTGTCCAGCTGAACTTGCACAGTGTCCCCATATATGTATGCTTGGGGCACAGGAGCATAAGGCCCTTCTTTGCAGTCACTTCTTACACACAATATCTCTGCTGTTTTACTGCTATTCTTTTTTATATCCACAGACACTTTCATTTCCAAGGTTATGAAGGTCTTGATCTCCATGTTGTTTAGCTTTATCTCAACAACAGGACTCACAGTGGAGTATTTGTCATTGTTGAGCTCCAGAGGTGGATCAAGCAGAGCTTTCATAGAGATCTGCTGGGTGTCCCCAGGTGCTACATGGCCCTCAGGGACATGAATACTGATGCTGGTGTCTGGCAGCTGCACAGCACCCCCCGAACTGTCCAGCTTACAAACTATATTGGTTTCCACTGGCTGTGTCTGTCCCCAGCCGGGATTCTGCCCCAGAGAATCCAAGTCATGACAAGACCTTGCAAGTTTCCTATGGTTCAGCCAAGCAGTCCTAAAGTCCTCCCTGCTTTGAAACTGTTCAGGGGAAGGAGCCTTTAAGCCAGAGAAGAAACCACATGATGCTCCTGTTGAACCAGACTGGGCCTGGAGGATGGAAAGCTCTGACAAGCTGTATGAGCGTTTGCTCCTGAAGAAAGGGTTGTCCCTCCTGAGTGGTTGGTTTATCTCTAGGTTTGGGCTACAGGGAGTAATATCAAAAATGCTGTTGGTAAAACTATTGGTGGTTGAAGAATCAGCAACAGGGACAGGTGGAGCCAGGGAGTCAAAAAACAGCAAATCCACTGCTGTATTTTTCACAGCCTTATCACTGTTCTGATCAAGGGCTGTTTGCAAGGCTCCATTAAGAAATGGATTTGTGGAGGATCGGTGTGTGAAAGGATTGCTGTCATATGGTTTTGTAGGATTCAGGACAACTCCTGTCCACTCTCCAAGGAGGTCCAGTTCCTTGGCTCCCTCATCAGCACTGTCACCAAGATTGTCTATCATCCCACTGTCACTGAGGGATGAGTTCCGGTGGTTGACTGGTTGGACATATGCTGCAGGGATATAACCCATTTCTGTATTGTTGTGGGCATACCACCACTCTCCTCCTGATGTGTCTAGCACAAAGAGGCGGTCACCCTTGGAGAACTTCAACGTAGTGAAGCTGGTAGGACAGTAGTCCTTGATGGCAACAACCTCACGAGCAGTTCCAAAGGAAGAGGAGTTATCCAGCCGTAAGGCACTTGGAGAAGGCACTGTGAAAAAAGAATTAAATATACTCTTAAGAACTAGGGCTAGATCACTGTACAGGAGAAGCCTTTATGCTTGTCTAATGTATCATGATGTGCAACATCATAATTTGCAACAGCTAGATTAGGTTTTATTTTTTACCCTTAATCATAAGCCTCACAATCCTTTAGCTGTAAATCAGCATCAGGCCAAAGGACAACACAGGAAGCATCAACAGCCAAATCTGACTAATTTAGATAATAACCGCAAACAATTCATGGAAGTACTGCCTTTATCTAATATTTCAATTATGTAACAGAAGTATGTATTTTTTAAAATATGTTTAGACTTCAATAACAATGCTACAGAGAGAAGAGCCATTCATCTTATTTGTAAATTATGTTTTATTTAAAAATCTTAATATTTTGCATTACTGTTCTAAAAGTAAAACGTCTTTCTTATATACTGAGACAGAAGTCAGGATTGTAGCCTCAACCACATGGCCCAACACTCTGTGCAAATATAGTTTAGACATGGCTTGTACTTGTGTCATAAGGCTCAAGCTTTCCTGTTGATTCTGAAGATGATAAGACTTTGTCAAAGCCTTTGAGGATTTTGAAAATGTGCAGCATCTCCTCATGTAGCCTTCTCTTTTCAAGACTAGAAGATTCAGTTCTTTCGTCTGTCAGTGTAGGACATTTCATTTGGAACCTGGGAACATATCTGGTTGCTCTTTTCTGGACTGATTCCACAGCAGCAATATATTTTTTCTAATGTGGAGACCAAAACTCTACACAACATTCTAAATGAGGTCTTACTATTACTATAAGTAAAAGGGGAACTGCAGTTCTCAGTTTCTATGACTGATTACTAAATCTCAGTAATAAATTCATTGACGGTATAGATTTCACAAATTTTGAATTGAGCACAAGTTTTATGAAAGCACTGTAAGTTGTTGCAAACTACTGCTCTCGCCACAGATGAGAACGGGAATTCGCACGGATTGCAACGTGAAGCAGCCCTTCCTGCTCACCGTTCTCAACATTTCAACGCAGAAATATTGCAACGCTGATCTATATGCAGAGTCAACAAATAAGCAGTATTTGCCAGCAAAAGGTAAGAGCAATATTTCAATTGGATATAAAAGAGATGTGTTCACAAGCCTGCTTGTTTAAAATGTAATAGGGCCGCTTCATGTCACTGGAAGCTTTGTTGCCTCGGTCTGAATTGCAGAACATGGTGCTGCACAAACCAGGAAATTCTGTCAATTCTGTGATATAAATTGGAGTTTTCCTCTTTACTCTATACATTTTAATTTCATTACAGTTTGAAATGCACTCATCAATGCGGATTCTTTCTGACATATAATATAAAAACAGCATTTCAGCTCCCCTTTAAAACAAAAAACACATTTTCAATCATGCTAAATGGAATGTATAGTGAAAGACAGTTACCTTTGACATCAGTAAAATTTGGCTCAGACACTCCATCACTGAGGTCTATGAGCGTCCCTTCAGATTTACAGCGTGGGAGCACGTTGTTATTGTTGGTAGCTCGAATTCTGTGGGCAGCCATGTCCGTCCTTGTCCAGGGAGACTATTTGTCCATATCCATTACACCCATGACAAAAGCAGTCATTGGAAGCATTTCATTTCTTCTAAAATAAAAACAGAAAGAACAAACTGAGATCAGCCACTTAAATGCATGGGACAGCACTTTTGAAAGAACAGATTCATTATAAAAGTGCACTCCATACTGGCAAACCCAATGAAGCAGTTTATAATCAGCTTGCAAGGAGATAATAAAGACTAAAACACTTACACAGATTAAGTGCATCATGTAGTGCTCTTCTTCCCCCAAACCAACATGCTGAATATTTTGAAACAGTTAAAATGGTACTTAGCATGAAACATGACTGTTAGATGACCAAAATAATAATAGATCTAAAATTCAAAAATTTTTCTAAAAGATGTATAAACCAGATGACCTCTCTATGCATGTACAAGTAAATACAAAGACCATGAACTTTATGGATGTGCAGTTTCATAACTGATTAAGATCACAGTAGAAAGAAGGACAACATTCAGTCTACTAAAACCACATAATGTGTAATTAATGAGTAGTATTCTCTGCTGGCCCCTGGTCTTATTATATGGTCTTACTTTATGTGCAGTACACGAAAAACACCAGTCCTTGAAGGCTAGAATTCAACTAGTTTTGCCGTCTCTTGTATTCATCAACAGCAGAAGACCTTTAAAAATATGTTGAATAGGTCTAGTTAAGCTAATGAATAGTTTTAATTAGGTCATTAATAATAGAGGTGGAATGATAACATATAGACATTGAGGATCTACAGAGCTAGAGCTGGGCACAACTGGATTATACAGTTCATCATGGCAGTGTCGTGGTCCTTTAGTCCATTGTCTTCTCATATATACTCAGGTTTCTTAGCTAAGTGATGAGGTGAGAAAATGATTGGCAATTTAATCAGTTGTACATTAAATTTGTAGATGTACATTACATTTACTAGATGAATATTTACATTCTAGCCTAAAAATAGTATATTTACTGGATGATTTACACTGAGTCCTGAAAATTGTAAAGCGCTCTTAAACGAAGTAGGTACACTGTAAACTTTTTAACAACACAAACATCTAAGCATTCCGGCAGCATTTCAACATGTATAGCTTGGTATACTGTAGACTGCATATGTGTTGTCAAATCAGGTATGAGCAAAAATAAACAATAGGTTACTGAAAATTGGTTTTGTGACAAGGCTTCATTTGTGAAACAGTGGCTGGAGGCAAAGGAAAATGAAATATTGCATCTGCCGATACATGTAGATCCAAGAGACTACTACTAATGAAATACTTAGTTTTTCCTGTTCTCATACCTAATGTTACATTCAACTGCTTATCTTTCACTTTTGCTTGATATAAGTATTGAAAAAATACCAGGGTTTCTAATTCCAACTGTACAATACAGAACTATATTCACAACCATATGGCACACAACCATATTCCTATAACAGAATCAAAATAGTGCCACTTTAGATGTCACTTCTAACGTGGGATGTCCGATAGCCATTGTGTACCAGTGGCCCAACTACAAAGCAGATCAGGTTGAGAAGTGTGAAACAGGTTAACCAACTTAAATAAGGTAGAACGTCAGAGATGTCATATTTTAGAAGAGGAGAATGTAGTCAGGACATGGGGGTTATTCTTGGAAAAAGCACAATGGGATCTTGAATGGTTTGATGACAAGAGATCTGATTATTATCACTGATCAAAATACTGTAGTTATTAAGACCGTGAACAACAGGTCATATATTGTATAAAAACAAGATGTTGAATGCAACTGTGCATGTTAATCTTTTGTGAGTATGTGTTACTTTTTGTGTGACAGCATAAGGTGAGTGAAAAGAGGAAATGCAGGATAAAGTTGTTTTCTTTGAAAGATGCACTTTGTTTAAATTGCAAGAAATGAAAAAAAAATTACCCTTTATTCTCAAGGGTGTTTGTGGGGAGACAGTTTTTGTTTTTGGTGTTAGATCTTCCCGTTTGCACCCTTTGAAGTTAGTTGTATTGAACATTTTACCCTGTTTTTGGAGGAATTTTGCAATATGATGCCAGTAATTTGGGGATTTCCTTTTGTTTTCTGAGTTTGGTGTCAACATAATATTTTTCCTTGTGTGTGCAGACCTTTTTCAGGACATTGATCTCTTGGATTAATGGACACATTTCTTTTTTTTGTCTTATCAATGTATTTTATGCATTCTTTTTATGGACTATATAATGTTCCTAGGTTCCTGCATTTCTCTACTAGGACAGGACTACAAAAAATATAGTTTCATGGGAATTGCACATAAAGATTTTTCTTTTTCCTCTCCTTTTACTTTTCTCTGGAGTCTCATTTATGAGTTGTGAGCAGCTTTAAAGTGTTTATCACATACATTTTTAATCATTTGTCTATGGTTATATTTTCTATTGATTTCTTTTTTTATCCTCTTAGTTATACTGCCTTTGGGTTTCACCATATCACATTTTACATGACAATATAAAGGCAAAAGAATGGTGGTAACATTCAGATAGCCAGGAACATGGTTTAACATTTAATGTAAAGGATAAACTACAAAATGAATTTTTGGTTCCTTTTAGTATGGATTTTATCTCTGGCAAAAACGTGAATACTAAAGTAACAGTAAAAAAACGTGTTTATTTAAATGTTTTGAATTTAAAACGGTGTCGTATACAAATTTACAGAATTTACAAACTGTAAGAAACAACGGCACTTTTTTAAAACTTAGTATGGAGATGAATGGACAATTAGTGTCTCTTCAGAGGAAAGAGATCTCAGACAATACATAGGTTACTATCACTTTAGCAAATAAAAAAATAAAAATGTGTATTTTTACTCATATGAAAATAGTTCACATTTTCTCTAATATATTGCAGAAAAGGGGCTCATTCTAAATAACGTATCTGGACATATACATTGCACTCAATCTAAGTTCCCAGGGAGTCACATGAAATTAGTCTAATTGACTCTTTCACTTTTGACCTATGACAAGCAATATGTCAACAGCTTCCTCCTTAGCTATGTGCCAAGCCTACTGCTGCATTGAAATTTAGCATAAAACCCATGTCTATTAGTACTTCCCGTCACTGTTTGTACAGTACATTAAACCGGTTTGTGACTTCACCACTATGCATGTTTAAAAAAATAATAAATTTGTTGACCACGTAACACAATGAGCACCTCCCATATTTGCACACATGCATGAGCATGGTTCAATGCATGAAGTTTCTGTACATTCAATAATTTCAACTACCATAACCTGGCTTCCGCAAGATCTTCCAACAAACAACAGGTCAAAATGAGAAGGTATCAGAGTGACCAGAAACAGCTTGTATAACACGTCAATCAGAAAACAAATTAGTAACAGCAAGCTTGAGGCACAGACAGTGTATGATACCAACTTGGTCAATATTTTTATTTTGCTGTTAAACATATACAGCAATGTCTGAAAGACACTGAAGGATTCTATTGTTTTTTGTCATCTTTATTAATTTTATTTACATGCATTTTGCTTACTGGTTCTAAATTCAACATTCACAAGAGTATTACTCAAGTATTACTGTTGTAGAAAACAATTCCATTCAGCAAAAGTAGTCTAATGTGTGTGTTCTAAGAAAGTAATTTAGTTACAAATTCTTACATGTACTTATTCTGTGTTATGACCCCAAGTGTTTAGGGGTAAAGAGGTGTAACATTTAGGATAATTTTTGGATGCAGGTGGGTGCTGGGGAGGGACTTAGGAAGCTTGATAACATGGGTTGGTGCAAAAGTGATGATTTTAAGGTGAATAAGTGACTGGTACAAAATAGGACACAATAACACACATGGGTAAGGGAGCTAGAGTGGTGCCAAAGAAAAGAAAATAACAAACAAAATGGAACTGGCTAAGAAAGTGAGGGAAAGCTGACCTAATTACAAAAGAAAACCCGAAGCACAGTCTTCAAACTCCCTAGGTAACCTTCACTGACTACCCAAAACCATACAAGACAAATGGCACTCACCCATACTAAACTAGTGTGATTAATACAAGAATCAACTACGTGTGTTGAATGTACCCATCCACCTGAACTAACTCAATACACAAACTTTCACACAAATACACAAGTCAACTATGAATACAAATGAGAGTAGACAAGTAACAGGGTACAAAATAACACAGAGTTTGAAGCAATAACAAGTTTGGGCAAGGTAATGGCAAAAAAAGGATAAACACAAACAAATGAAAGTACGAGGAGATGAACAGAACCCAACAAAAGCTATACGAAAATACACACACACAAAGCAAAACAACAAACCAACAAAGCTGAAGCTTAAGCAAAAACCAAAAGAACAAAGCCGAAACAAAAACCAAAAGCGAAATGAAGCAAAGCGAAACCAAGCAGGACCGAAGTCAAACGAAAGGCACCTTCCTTCTGAAAACCTCTATGTTATATACTGAATAAGATGAGTTCTGATTGGTCGAGAATTAATTGAAGATGATGTAATACAAAAACAATGGTGTAATGATGGACCAATGGGGGAGGGAGAACAATCAAAGTCAGAAGTGTGGAACATAATAACAGAAACACACATGGACCACACACTGGGGCGTAACATTCTGTACATTCATCTTCTTAATGAACTGATTTCAAAACAATATGCAGCTTATTTGTGTCACTTCAGGCAGATGGATTAAGCCTTGTCCTCTGGCAGCCCATACTACAGCAAGTAGTTTAACTCTTTTGTAAACTGGAATATTACTGGTACATCAAAGCTGTTCTTTAAGATGTGAAACAGACACATAACTCATGTACTGTATAGATATGCCTTAAATGCCTGTACTGCCAGTTGGCACAGAATACTCAAAACCAATTAAAAAGCCAAAAGCCTACACTTATTCACATTAAGTCAGAAAGTACTGAAAACAATGACATTCCACAAAGAAGATACTCATAAGAAACAAACGCTAATGTTCTAATTGTCTAATTCATAAACCATGACATTAAATTGCAGTAGAAGTCCTCCTTACTTCCTAAAGTACATTTAGCATACTTTGACGAGCCTTTGTACTCGTTATTAATTATAAAACAAAATTTCAAAATATATTTCTTAATCTTAGATGACACAATGGGGCCAAGCACCCTTCATCCAGAAATCATATATAGAAAGAAAAGACGTTTGGCTTTATTATTCCAGGAGGCATACATGACATAAAATCCAATTTACAAACTGTCCAGGTGGAATAAAAAAAATAGATCAAACAAGAATTAATTTTCCATGTTATTACGTTCTGTTTTCAACTACAAAAAAAACACACCGATTGGCTTGCTTGTTTGTTGCAATTAGTCTCTGTAACTGCAAGCAAAAACATTTGCATAAAAAATTACTCATTCATAGAACACTCAGAAAGGCAAAACCATACTGATGCACAATGGAAACAAGTTCTACATTAAGGCTCATTGGTCATGCAAATAATACAGGGTGGAGGGTATGAATGGAAAAAATGGTTACAGCATCGTCATAGTAATACTCAAAAATGATGTTTAGTTCTTATTTTAAAATTTCTGACTATTTTAATGATGAAGTGTATACTCTGGGCTCAAACACAGAACAATGCTCTCTGCAATGCCATCACTTTAACAAGAAACATAAAATGCAGACGTGACAAACATGGGTGGAACTGTAGTGTAGCTGTAGGCACCACTGCATCACAGGTTTTGCATCTCACTTCAATTCTGTGTGACCATTCTCCCTGTTTGTGTCGGTTTCTGTTTGGTACTTTCCTCCTTCCAAAGACATACTGGTTAGGTTAATTGAGGTCTCTAAACTGTACTCCTGTGCACATACCCTGTGACGGAATAGCATCACATCCAGAGTGAAGTCCCGTCTTACACCCTATGTTTCCAGGATAGGCTCTGGTTTGCATGCCACATCTAGGAAAAATGCTTACTGATAATGGATGCATAGAGCGAGAGAGGACAAACCAACCAAATTCCACTCACTAAAGCAACAAAGCAATAGGAATGATTTTCATGAAGGTACTGCATTTCAGTACCTGTGAATTTACATAGTGATTACTGATACTAGCTAGCAGCTATATCCTACAGGTCTCAACTGGCTACCCACTGAAGCCAAGCAGGGTTGAGCCTGGTCAGTACCTGGATTGGAGGTCTCATGGGAAGCTACGGTTGCTGCTGGAAGAAGTGTTAGTGGGACGAGCAGGGGCCCACTCTGGGGTCTGTGTGGGTTCTAATGCCCCGGTATAGTGACGGGGACACTTTCCTTTAGTGGGAGTCATCTTTCGGATGAGACGCTAAACCGAGGTCCTGACTCTCAGCAGTCATTAAAGATCCCGGGGCATTTATCGATAAGAGTAGGGAGTTATCCTGGTGTCGGGCCAACTTTCCCCCCTTGGCCTTTACCGTGGCCTCCAAATTGTCTTCATGTATGATTGGCTTGCACTTGCCCTGCGATGGACTGGCACCCCGTCCAGGGGTACACTGTCTTGTGCTTGTTGCTTGCTGGGTATGCTCCGGCTTCCCGCGAAACCGTATGGCATAAAGCGGTTAGGCAAACAACATGACATTACTGAGACTATCTAACAGGATACGTTGAAGTAAAAGTGGCAGGAAGTACAAACTGCCTGTGTGTTTCCATGGTTAAAAAAACTGGGAAAATTAACTTGGCCAAATAAAACTGGCAACTGCCAGCGATTAGCGATGGATTTCCAGTTATTTCATCGTGGCATCCAGTTTTACAAGCAATCTGTGGTACAACGTTAAGAAATTAATCTAGGAAGCAAGCAAAAGACATTCATATTTGCCGACAGTAACAGGGTGCTGAATTCAAACACTTAAACAGTATTTAAAGAACAGCTGTAGAGTAAACAGAAAACAAAAACACCAGAGCCAAAAATAAGAAAAATTGCTTTGTTCACATTTGGAATATTAGATTTGAAAGAATTGTGTCCTGTTCATCTGGGTATGATTTAAAACAGGTCATGAGTTGTCATGTTGTCTAATAAGCATATTGTGTAAATACTGTGTGAATTCAAGCTGTCATGCTTCTAAACTGCTGGCAAAACACAATGCTCAAATTGCAGGAAATGGCCTCCATCAGTCTTGTAAATGTTAAAAAACCTCCACCTGCTAATTCTCTCTGCATCCACCACTTGTGCCATCATACTTCAAATTCCTGTGGAGAACCCTTTTTACTTTTTAAATAGTAAGCAGATTGGTTTGTTTACTGAGTATTATTAGGCCTTGGGATAACATATCATGGGATTACACAAACCCACCAGGTGCCCAGTAGCTGATTTTTCAGTTAAAATTGATTAGGAATCTTTATAACTTTAGAAATTACATTTTTTTTTCAACATAAGGAAAGCAAAATTTGTATACGGCTGTACAACAAGAGAGTAATGAAGATAATGAATAGAAGCTGCCTGGAGAATTAGATGTTCTGCTTAAGTAGCTAGGAAACTATTCCAGAGAAAACAAGAAACTGGCAAAGTCCATGTCCTGATGCCACACCGGCCCAGAACACTTGCATCCATCTGATTCGTTCATGTAAGGCTTAAAGACTGCAGTAGCAACACAATAAAAAAAAAAAAAGAATCAAGAAATATTTAACCTGTGCATTAGCAGAAAGACTATGGAGTGGCTGCCTGCATGAAAATGATCTGTGTGCTTCCAGGCTGTTAAGAACCAACAACTGACTGACAAGGTACAAAATTGTCTTCCTATGTAGATCAGATACCTGAGATGGTGGAAGAGACACCAGTGGAATGTTTCATTCAATGATGAAAACTGTTTTGGAGTATGTAGAGGTATTGCCGTGACCATTATATCCACACTGCTAAATCCAACCTGTAGAAAGGCATAAGGCTGATGTAGGGAGAAATAATATTTAACACAAAAACACCTTTGACACACACTGAGGACAAATGTACTGATCAGATATACAGCAGTCTTTAAAACATTTTCCTGACTTGACATTTTCCTGATTTCAATCAGTAGTTTTATGGTATCAATTTTTCAAGATCATCAACGGGAGAAAAATGCAACTGGTCAACCTTCACCAGCTCGCGACTGTGCCACCAGGAGAACAGCAGAACATCCCACATCAGGTCTATGCATCAAAGCTACCAGGATTGCATTAATGTTACGTTTGTGATGCTTTCCTGTGTATCACACTGTACATCATAACCTTCTTTGATCTGTATTTTTGCTCACAATCAATCAGTGATTTTGTAAAATACCTACATTAAAAATATTTTGATTAAATCCACTAAAGTGTTGCATTTCTTTTGTGCACCTGCACATAAAGGCACTAGTGCCTCATCCAAAACATAGTCAAATACTACTGTGTTTACAAGGATATCTTAAATATTATAAGGTAAACCTTTTTAATAGTTTTTGGCATTATAACAGAATGTTGGATTAAGGTTCTTTTCATTCCATGTGTGCTTAATAATGGGATTCAGCTGGATTAAATGCATCATTATCTGTAGCGAAAAAGGAAAAGAACTGCCAATTTTTTCTCAGAAAAAAAATCAACATTAATGCAGTTGATAACACACTGCACATTATTTTTGTGAAAGGGGGTAGGCAGCGGGATGAACACAACAGACATCATTTTGAAATAAAATGATGACATTCATCAAAAATCTCAGTCACATAACTTCCTTCCCTGAAGTCTACAACAGGACTAGTCACAAGTCAAACAGAGTTAACCTTTGGAAATCCATTTAATCGAGGCATTATACTACCCACACCTGCCACTCATACTTACTTTAGTTGTCAATCTTTAATCTGAGGTGCTGTTTTTCAGTTTTAGAGCCCGAAATGAAACCCCAATAACATATCTACATTTCACAGCAAAACTGTACAACTGGTCGTTTGAAAAGCTCTTCCTATTTCAACTGAAGACTTCTACATATGCACCTTAATGATATACACAGTTTATTTTTCAAATTCAATCACAATAATACAATTCTTTTAATTACAATGTCAAATAGATAATTGCTAAAACAATTAAGAAATTATTCTGTTTATATAAATCAGCATTTACATAAAGTTAAGAAAATGTATATCAGTAACTCTATTTTGCTTTTGTTTGGTTTCCTACTTCAATATGAAATGCATCTGTAGTGATGAAAAGATTTTTAAGTCATGCATGTTACCCCACTACTAAACTCACCGAGTTACTTTTCCAAAGTATACTCCAAAAAAAGCTCTTAACAAGTTGGTGTTGATCATTCTATGTGTAATCAATCACAGCTAAACCCAGGCTTTACTTGTAAATTTGGCATTTTCTAAAACTGGTGCTGCATAAAAACTAAATGCCCTTCCTTCTAATTTGTCTATAAAAACATTTTTTGTAGAATCAGGCAAAACCAAAGCAATTGAGCTTGTATGCTGTCTGTAACAGTCCCCTGAGGTCTTCTTTAACAGGGATGTGGCATAGTTCAGTACAACTAGACATCAAAGAGGGTTTCCTACCAGAGGCCTCAGGGTGCCTCTACAGTAATTAAGGATACCCAAACACACAGAGTGGAAAAATTACTTTTACCCTATAAGATAGGATAAGAAACTACAAACACATTAGTGATAAGCTTATTTTTTAGATAAAGTTCTCATTTGAATTTCTTGCTTTTTTAGGTAACATGGTAGCATTTATTATCTATATGTAGTTAGGCAAAAGCATATTGAAGTAGGATATTCACTGAAGCTAAGCAGGTATGAGCCTGGTCAGTACCTGGATGGGAGACCTCATGGGAAGAACTAAGGATGCTGCTGGAAGAGGTGTTAATGGGACCAGTAGGAGGTGCTCACCCTGCAGTCAGTGTGGGTCCTAATGCCCCAATATAGTGATGGGGACACTATACTGTAAAAAGGCGCCATCCTTTGGATGAGACGTAAAGGTCCTGACACTTTGTGGTCATTAAAAATCCCAGAGCAATTCTCAAAAAGAGTAGGGATGTTACCGCTGTGTCATATTGTCGTAGGATCACACAAGTCTTTTCTAAACAAAACCAAACTTGTCATTACAGTGCCTGTTTTTCAAATGCACTGTTTCTACTCTGCTGAGTGATGCATGGAGTCCTGACGCTAATTCCTCACTAAATTACTTATGTTGGGTAGATACAATTAATCTTTTTCTCTCATTTTAAGGAAATCTGATTTTATTTACATTTGGAACTGCTATACATTTTGTGTTTAGTGTCAAATAGTTTTTCAGAAATATGTACAATATAATTTGCATATTTTAGGATTTCTTTGGATAGATATGCAATATTAAATGAAATATTTATGGGTTGTTCTATGCTGTGTTGGGGGAAAGGAAGTATTTAAAAATCAGTTCCACACTGCAGGGACATTTCACAGAGACTAGAGCACTAACATTCTCCTAACATTCTCCTAACTTAATTTTTTATTTTTATAATATTTCTTTCTCTGGGCACACCTATAATTTCTTCAAAATGTTTTTTTTTAACTAATACCTATTACTGAACAATAAGCATTTATATTAGGTTTCCAAGGGAAGCACATTTAATCTGTAGTATTTACCACTTCTTGGCTGTTGTTGTCAGGGTAATTTTTCATGGACCCAAAAAGAAAATGCTGGGGTGAATGGTTACATCATCCTGTATGACATAATCTACTCCTTTCTCCAAAACAAGAATGCGAATACAGCAAAAACATTTTTTTCAGGAAAAAAGTATTTTTGGAGAGAACATCTTTTTAATGCTCCATCTACATAAAAAAGCAGCAAGCCAAAACAGTAAACAAAGTCATTTCAGTATCATACAGACATTTTCTAATGTGTGACTATTTAACAAACAGGTGTACAGTCTATGACTCAAATGTTCCATTCACAACACAAAAAATTGTTTGAGAATTAGTACTGTACATTTGGTGAATTGACAATTTTATTCCTCAGGAAGTCAGTGTCCAGCACAATCACAAATAGATACAGTTAAGAAACACAATTCATTCACAAAAATGTGAAAAAAAATTACCACCTTGTTTTCTGCATTCAAAATCATCTAAATACAACTTGCAGTTGTGTTCACTGCCTTATAGTTTCCCAGAGCTGCAATCTCCAATCTTATGATGACCTGCTGTGACTAAGTGCCACTGGGTCTGAGAGAAAGCTGATCACACTGTCCTTGTGACCATGTTCGTAGACCACAAGCCTACTAAATGCGTCACTATGCATCTTTGGAAATCATCCAACGATGAGCACATAAAAAATTGAAAAGATCTGCTGTTTTTAGGACTTTAAAAAGATAATAACACTTTCCATGGCATACACTGTAAAGACTACAGCCTATATTCTAAAATAAAAACTGCATTTCAAAATATTCTTTAGTAATATAATCATATAGCTACTGTATGATTATATTGACTGTATGATTATACTATATATACAGATTTAGTTCCTTGTCTAGTATTAACTTCCTTGTCTCGAAAACATGTCCCTGTCTCATAAAGAGATTTTCACCAGGATACAACTATTATCATGTCACTAAAACAAACACATTTGCCTAAAAATGTATTTCAGAGACACATTCGGATGTATACACAAAAATATAAATGAGATGAGGGGCAATATTTTGCAGCAATAAAGAACATGTGGAATTTTCAGAATTTTATCTACCCATTTTACTTAATGACGCATATTTCTTCACAGAATCTCTTCTGCTTTGCTAACAGTCCATATTGAATCATAAAGAGAAAGAGAAAGTGAAAGTGAAAAGAGAATGACCTTTCTTTTCAGTATTCCTAATCAATGATAATAACCTACTTTGATTTTTATGAATATTAATCTGTATTCAGTACTGGTGTATTTTTAGCAACACTAAGCCACGCGTATGAATTTCATATGAACACATTTTATCCTCATCAAGTCCCACGTGGGATTCTCAAAACTATTTTTGTGTGGCGTTTTTCATGAGCTTATGTTTCTCTACTGCTTCACTGTTAGTGAACCTGTAACATCCTCTTTACTAAATGGACTTGCAAAAAGCTTTTAAGTACCATTTTATCTGCAGCTATTTTTAAGAATATACCTGTATATGTGCTTAAGAAAACATTTTCTTGTGTCTGTTTTGTGATGATTTGAAATTATTAATATAGTATAAATACACATGATACTACTTTTCTAAAGTTGTTTACTATTTAGATTGTTATACCATTACTAGCCTTGGTATTAAACTGCATTGTTGCTGCATTTTCAAAGCAGACTTCTTGCACTTTGGAGATAAGCAAAACATGCTCTCGCATTATAGCCATTTTTCTTCGGTTCAGGGAACGGAAGTGGACCACTGTGAGGTATAAAGGCATATAAAGGTAAATAGCATTAGAATCAATATACCTATAACCTATATAATAATAAAAACAAAAGTAAAGGTAATCTTGCAGTTTAATGCATCTCTTTTACCTGGTTTCAGAAATTAATTTTATTTAATGTCCATATAGTAACCTACCACAAGCTAGGTTAACATGTCTTCATTATAAACAGTCCTTGGCATTTGTTTTTCACATTATCTTTTGTTATCCACTCTAAACCCAAGGCAAGACAATGCTGTCACTTTTAACACATTTTGACAGGAGCTGCGTCAGAAAATCTGCTTAAAACTATAACTTAAAGCATACCCTGCTCTTTCCCACAAAGGAAAGGAATCTTTGCAAAACTCACCGATTTAAATGTAAACGGTATTCCAAAAAAAATCAATTTTTCAATGGTATTCCATTTTTCAAACTTTGTATTTTGTACCACCATCTACTGTCTCCTCTAACTGTGTTTTCTCATCATGCATATTTTTTTATTGTTGTTATAAGTCTGTAAAGTGCTTTGAAAAGCCACCTTTAAAAGTGCAATGAAATAAAGTTTATTATTATTAAAGAACACCTCCTTTTTTGTGTATCTGTTTTGCTTCTCACGATGCACTGTAAAGTCTATACACAGTTCATTTACACAACTTGTTGAAATGCACACTACCATTCTTTAACCAATGCCAAACCAATAAAACACCCAGGTGGCTGACTTGGTGCATTATAAATTATTCCACAGCACTGAGGGACACCAACTTACTGTGAATTACCATTTTGTGACATTTTTCAATTTATTATTTCTAATACTAACTAGGAGTATATTCCTATTTATATATATTTTTAAAATAAATTTAATACAGATTATAGTCGATACAGTACATTAATCCATAGAAATGAAGTGTATTCCTTCACACTAACCATAAACTTGGTCTTATTATTCTTTTTCATGTGAGGTAAATTTAGTATATTTCAAGAAGATCGCTTCAGTGAAGAGTTAACTGATCCAATCTCTGGATGTAGGTTTATGTAGTTTTTATTTCTGAACCAATTAGTACCAAAACAGTGTATATGAAGTCATTACACTGCAGAAAAAGTAAACCAAAGCATATGTCTGTTTTTTATTTTCTGCAAAAAGGCTCAGTGGTTGTTGCCTGGCAACATAACTTCAGGAAAAACTATCCATGTTTCTGACACTACTACTACAAGAAATATATTTCTTAATATACCTTGGGTTTTACAGATGAAGGCAAAAGAAGTGAAAATATTTTAGTTTAAAAGGTAAGTACCCA